CCTCCGGGCGCCGAAGCGCGTCTTTCTCGTCCTCCGCGACCTTAAGTGGGGGCTCTGTCGACCCAGGGACGGGGAGAGCAATTGGCCGCGGCCGGGCCGCTCTGCCTCCACAAAAACCGTTAGGAAACCCAGAGGCGACGCCCGGCAGCTCTTCCGCGGGGAAGGCCGTCGGCCGCGGCCGTTCTGTGTTCTCGGGATCCCCCGCACGGGGCCGCCTCTGGGCGCGCCTTTCAGCTCTGGCCTGCTCAACGAATGGCGGTAGCCGAGACAAATCCTGGCTTAATCACATAGGCAGGCTTGCACGTAGGACTCGGCCAATATGTTCATTGCGGGCTGCTGAACAAAGTTAGCCTGGCAGTTAATTACCAAAGCTAGCTTTGGTAATCATAGCTTGTTTCATTTTTTTCCTCCAAATTTGCAGAAGTTTACTAGAATTCTGGACTCAGACGTGACAAGTGGTAGTTAAAGCAAGTAGGGCTTCATAAACCCACATTAAACCATGGCTTATTGTCAAACTATAAGCCATGTTCTTTGGGGGTGCATTTGGATATTTTTGGGGGAACAAACAAATCATGGTATTGGCTATGGTATTGTCCTTGAAGCCACACTCTCATTTTTTATCTATGGGGAGACTTCTTGCCTCAGGGTTCCCTAATTTTTATCAATAGGCAGCTTGCAAGCATCAAATATCAGAGCTTTTGTGCTTGCTCTGGGGCACCTCCTTGTGCACTCAGCAGAACAGATTTCTGGGGAAATGTTTATCCGCCATATTTATACCGCTGCAGCTGTAAGACCCTCGCTGGAAGTAGCGACGGTGACCTCATAAGAGGCTATTGTCTAAGTGAAAAACATTACAATGTGTTGAAAACAGCTGCTGTTCCATGTTATTTGCCACCATTGAGAACAAATGGACTTCGTAGAAATGCTCATCTTTTTTTAAGGAAGGCAATCAGGTTCTCCCCAGATGTTTGCCAAGCCAAGGTACCAAAAGCTGAACAAGTGTTTTCGCTGCCTGACTCAGTCAGTTACTGTTCTGGTAAAAAGATAATTGAGAGGTAAGAATGAGTCTGTGTTTGAAAAGGAAACTGAAATATTTTTCATGAAAATTTAGGGCTGTGTTTGAGGATCAAACTTCAGAGATGTTTACCTTTCAAGCACAAGGTATGTTGTTTGAGTTTTTCTCTACACTGAACGGTGAGATTGGTTCTCTTGGAAGACCATTGTTGATTGCGCTACCTGGGCTATAAGAAGAGCCAGATTGTAAGAGACAGCTTGAGTGTCCTCAGTCCTACAGGAGAGATTTTGTTTTACAGAAGGGAGGAATAGAGAGGTGGTTCTAGTCGACCGTCACTAATATGCATGCTATATGGTAGCGATTCCCCAAGTGCGGCCCAGGATTGCCAGGCAGTCAGACTCAGCCTCCCCAGGTCTCCATGCTTGCGAATAATCGGCCAGCGAGAGCTTGCTGGCTGCTTCAGCCCCACCTCCCCCTGCACACCCACAGTCAGCTGATTCACTAGAACAGGTCAGCCGCTGCCAACCAGTTTGTGGCAATATGCAAGCGATAATACACACATCATCATGAGTGAATGACAGTAATGAAGACATCTCAGAAGCAGGCATTAATTTTCAGTTGGCTTGTTGAACTGTGGCTTCACACAAACAACTCTAAGAGAGCGCAAACAGGAAACAAATATCAAAAAATGGGATTTCACTGGGCTGGAGACCCCCGAGCCCCTTAGGATTCAAATTCTTCACCAACAAGTTGTCCTGTGAAGAGTAGTTATGGCATGGAGGTACATAAAGCAATTCAAGGAGTAAATAAATATTTAAAATTTGCATTAATTACTTTTGGGTTCAAATTTAGTTTAAAAGGGCCTTTAAAAATGGAAGGAATGACCTTACACATTTTCAGAAATGTAACCGTTTCATACACATGAAACAACTCTGCTTTTAAAGCAGGAATGTTGGGGACAGGGCATTGATTTAACATGGTTCTGCACTGAGGGACACCAGCGCGGAGGTTCATTGTGGGGCAGTGGGTGTTTCTAAGCTGGTGTTTCTCTGTCTCATCTAGCTGGAAGTCTACGTATCGGAGGGGGCACACTCGACTGAGGAGGACAGTAAGTATGCCTGTGGATTGTGCTTAGAGTGAAGCATTTTTCATGGAAAGAAGCAGTTTGAAAACTAATCTTACTCTCCTGATAATACAGTTAAGAGTGTGCATATGGAAGGAAGACAATATTTAGAGATCTCTTTTACTTCCTTGTACTTTCAAATCTGTCCAAAGAAGGATGTATTTATGTATTTGTTAGATTTATATTCTGCCTTTCAGTCAGAAGCTCAAGGCAATGCATAGCACCACTTCCTCCATTTTTTCCCCACAACGGTGACCCTCAAAGATAGGGTGGACTGAGTGAGAGTGCCATGCTGGGGGCGGGGGGCAGCTAGAACCTGGGCCTCCCTGGTTCCAGTCTAACGTTTTAACTGCTACACCAGATATTGCCTGCAGTTCATTATTAAAAGAGGATTACATTGTTGGGGGGTTAGGCCTGCATTGCTGAGAACCTCCTACAAGTCATGCACTCCAGGTTGTCCTTGGAAGAAAGTGTATGTATGTGTGTATTTATTTTATTAATCAAATTTATACACCACTCATCTCACTGTGTAAGTGACTCTAGGTGGCTTACAAGTAAAAAAGTAATAAAAAACGATAAAAATCTTACGGGAATATACAAAAGCTAAAAGATGGAGAGAGCATCCTCAGACTACCAGCCACCCCCAGTGTTGGGAGCCCCCATTGGATCCCCAAGCTAGTTGGCAGAGCCAGGTCTTAACGCTCTTCCGGAAGGCCAGAAGGGTGGGGGCCAATCTCACCTCAGGGGGCAAGATGTTCCACCGGGCGGGGGCAATGGCAGAAAAGGCTGTCCTCCTAGACCCCGCCAGCCGAAATTCTCTAGCTGACGGGGTTTCCTGTTTAATGTGGTGGGGGAGTGGGGCGGATAGGATGAGAACTCTTGACTTTGAATCGATGTGTATGAGGGAATCCCACTGCAATGCATTTGCTTCAGTTTTCATACTGAAAATTAAAATATCCTTTTTAATCTCATTGTTGCATTATGCCACAGCATGGTGATTAGTAAATATATTTGCTACTGTAATTTTCATTTAGAGGAAGGTTGATGGATAATACATTCTGAGAAAAATAAAAACAGCAGTTGTAGACCCATTAAGAAAGGTATGAACAGAACTCCATGGAGAAAATCTGTCTACTGTATGTGGGTCGCTAATAGTCAACACCAACTTGATGGCACATAATCAGTCAGTGGAAAGAACTGGGCAGTCCCTCTTGATCGCTCCCTGTTAATATTAATAGGATGTGGGTTGCAGTCCCAAATGATAAATTTATCTGGTTTCCCGTCAAAAGCTGCTTGATCATTTTTCCATTGTGTTGCAGTCAACAAACAAATCAACGATAAAGAGAGAGTCGCAGCAGCAATGGAGAATCCCAGTTTGCGGGAGATTGTGGACCAGTGTCTGCTAGAGCCTGACTGACGTGGAATACATCTGGTACCTTTGTATTAACTTCTTTATAAAATTACCTTGAATTTAATACTAAAAAATTCTTTGTACCTCTTACATGTTTTTAAAGAACCATTTTGAAAACACCCAATTTATTGCAAACGAGTGAGCAGACCTGATCAATCTCAGATGAACTGTAAAGAATAAAAAGTTAATATTCTCTTAATGTTGATCTTTCTAAACATGAATCATTTTTATTGCCAGCTGATGAATGTGTGGTGTAATTTTTAAAATCTGATTTTTAGTTGATTTCCCCACTTCTCCGTAGTGGGGTATATTTGAATATCTACTGTGTAAAAGGTGAATAAAATACAGAATTGTTGAAACAATTGTTTTTTGATGATATTACATTTCCCCTGGAGATTGAGAGCAAAAAAAGGTTTGCCAAAATAGATGAGGAATAAACTTGAAGCCATTACTTCCACAAGTGCAAGGCACCTAAAATGATACTTTGACAATCCTGTTGGCACCTGACAATAAAATGGTGGAAGAGACATAGAACGGAAGGCTCTGGAGGGTCTTTCTGGGTCTCAGAGAATTTGGTGCGATATCCCACTACACCATCTCCAGCCTCCCTTTTGAAAGCTGCCAGGGAGGGGATCCACTTCTGCTCCAACAGCTGAAACGGTCGGGAATCACCATTCTTTTAATTTCACTCCTTGTTCTGCCCCCAATTTCTGCCCCTTCTTGGACATGTTGATGGTCTTTCTGGCAAGCTCAAGCAGCTCAGGCCTTTGAACCGCTCCTCGTAGATGGGACACCTCTGGAATCGGGGGGCTTCCCGGCCCACAGCCATGCCGTCCTGCTGGGACTGAGTTTCAGCTTGGGCCTCCCTGGCCAACTGGCATCCGGGCTCTGGGCCAAAGCCTCAACCACACTGATGGCCTGCTTGGCCTGAGGCCGTGACGCAAAGATGGGTGTCCTAGAATGCTGAAAACCATTATCTTAAAGGAGGAAATGAGTTGTGCTAATAGAAATACCACGTCGAAATGAAACGGAATGATACAGAGGCATAGCAATAATTCCTTAAAGTAATGGTTGTTGGAATGTAAAAGACGCCCAATCCAGAAAATATATCTTCATATCTATGCTTACTCTTAGAAGGCAAGATACCAAAGACGCTTGCGTTGGAAGGGCCACTGAGGCCTTCAGGTCCAACACCTCATCCAGGCAGGAATCCCTATCAAAGGCATTTTTGCCTTGAAATGTTAGTTGAATCAAATAGACCAAAAAAAAAAAATTAACCTTTTTTTTATTTTTTTTAGTTAATCCAGGAGCATGGGAGACTGAAAATCTCTCCCGCTCTGTTGGTTGAGAAGATTATGTCACCATTCAGTTCCTCTATTTTTCTGAGTTTCATAGCTCTGCAGTTAAAAATGTTGTCTGGCCCTTAAAGGAAGCAAATTAAAGTCAGATGAGGTGAACGTGGGGATTCCTTGAACTGTTCTAACAGATTATGTTTTCTCATCATTTTTCCTTCAAAATTACAACATTTATAATTTTCAGATCAAAAGTTCCGTTGTTGGATAACGTGGCTCTCACCATACAGATCTTAGAGACAGATGGATTTGAAGGAGATGATTGCAAGGGTGTTTCTGCACCTGACTGTAGGATAGCAATGGTGCTCTTGAACTCCTGCCATCAGCAACACAAATGAAGCTTTCCCAAATAATAATAGTACTAGATGTAATTTGTCGTAGAAGAGATGTTCTCCAGGAGTTTCCTTCTGGCAATGCAATATACCCTAATTTTTGATAAATTAGGGTATATTGGCTGAATGCATTTCTGGACTCCATTGTTCAGACAAGTGAAACTGCTGTGATTCCCATAAACACAACAAAATCCTTAAACCGAAGATGCACAACTTTTTCTAAACTGACTTTTTTTGGTGCAATTTCAAATTAAATATGGCTAACATGACCACTGTTCAGTTGTGTATCAAACAATTTTCTAATTCTGTAACATTACAAAGTAACATTTGGTGACAACTTTTGTAGGTCTTTAGAGTCTTAGATTATTCATTCCTCCTTTAAAGCACAATGTTTTGGTGATCCCCTCAAAAATTTAATCCCGCAGTTGAAATGGGCCATTTAGGCCATTGAGTCCAGCCTCTGCTCGGGGCAGGAATCCAAGTTAGAGAATCCCCAACAGATGGCAGAAGGGGGAACAGACAGGAGGATCACACAAAAGTGGGATGCGCAGAGGGAGATACCGGGGGGGGGGGGCGGGTCCGCTCAGATAAGGTACATTAGAGACCTTAAGCCATTCCCTGTTTCTATTCCCCCCGCCGCCTTAGCTCAAGAAACAACACCCAGGCTTTGAGGCATCCCAGGCCCTGGCTGATGCTACTGAGTGCCAGGCCATTT